ACCCCTTCTTGGTGCCTCAACCAAGAGGTGTTGGAGAGGAGGTCGGCCAAGGAAGTGGGAAGATCAGTCGAGATGGTGACGGGACCCATGGTATGGGCAGTTGGGAGGAATGCAAGCGAACCACTTTGGCAGAAGGTTAGAAGGGTACTCACCAGGTCTTTATTGCAGAGTCGAAGGACTGCCCAGCTGGTGGGGGGGCACGTGCCAGAACAAGACTCCCTGCAGAGAGATGTTGAGCAACAGGTAAAGACTAAAGACTAATGAAGGTTGAGACAGTGAGAGTGTACGGTAAAGAGATGCGGTGGGATGGAAGTGTGGGATCCTGGTGCCGATCAGACCCTGGGCGCCGTAGCCAAGATGCACACGTAGATGCTGTGTATGCCATGTCCTCTCCGTGTCCTCTCCATCTCCTCTCCTACACGATGCCAATGCTTCCTTTCTCGCTAGAAACCCGAAATGAAGCAGCCTTTGCAGCAGGATTAGACGGCCAAGGCGACTATAAAATGTCTCGAGTGCTTGAATCGGATCAGTAGGAAAGCGTGGGACAACCGCCTAGAACAATCGCCGTCGAGATCTCGGAGGCCGGCGGGAGGTGAGACAAGCGCAGGGGCGATGACAGTCTTACCCCACGTTGTTCCTGTTACGACAAACATTCGACAGACCGAAACTACAAAGGCGGGCGCGGCGTACGCGTGCGTGTGCAGTCTTGTTCTCGATAAGCAGCTCCCGTGGCGGCGGCGGGCCGGAGAGTGAAATGACGCCAGCCGCCAGGGTTTAGCTTTCAGCATTCATTCGAAGCTTCGAGTCCTGTCCTACTCTACTCTACTCTAGTACTCTAGACTGTGTACTCTAGAGCCGCATCAGTTCAAGATGCATATGTCAGCCACATTTGCCGCCCTCTTACTATAGTCTGATTACACACTGCGCAACCCATTCGCGCAGTCATCCTCGTCGACTCCAATACTCCATTTCTCCACTCTCCCTGCTGAAACCCTGCTCGGTGGAGTCTGTCACATTGCCAGACTCGCCATGGACCCTGAATCTGCCCCAGCAGAACTCAACTGGTCGGCGCAATACACCCTCGCACAACCAACTCGAAACACTACGCTGCCAGGCGACAAGATCCTTCTCCCGCCCTCGGCGTTGGAGCAACTGCTGTCAGCCGCTCCCGTCGTGGCCGTCGATGCAGATCGTCCGCACATCACCGCCTTCGACCCCTTCAATCCTTACACATACAACGCCGAACGTCAGGCACGAGCCCAGTTTCAGGACCGCCACCAGCAGTTGCCGCATCCGCTGACGTTTCGCCTCGTCAACCCTGACAATGGCCGAGTTGTCCATGCAGGAATACGCGAGTTCTCCGCAGAGGAGGGCGAGATTGTCCTGAGTAGCTTCTTGAGGGAAGCACTGGGTATTGAGCCACAGCCCACAGAAAACTCCCGGATAAACACCCCAAATGGGCTTCCAGACGATGATGAGCACATGGGTAATGGTGTCGAACCATCCGTCACCAACGGCCACACACGAACGAACATCACAGTGCACGCTATACAATTACCCAAAGGCACGTTTGTGAAGCTACGGCCGCTCGAGGCTGGCTATGATCCCGAGGATTGGAAGTCGCTACTAGAAGAACACCTGCGATCCAACTTCACGACCTTGACGAATGGCGAGGTTCTCGTGGTATACGGCGGTCGTGCGCCAGGTGGCAAGCGAGAAGAGTTTCGCTTCCTGGTAGACGGCTTCAAACCAGAAGGGGATGGAATCTGCGTGGTAGACACTGATCTCGAGGTCGACATCGAAGCCCTGAACGAAGACCAGGCACGCGAAACCTTGCAAAGGATCATGGCCAAACGACAACGAGCGCCCGGCACAACAGAAGGCAGCTCTGCTGGCGGCACAATCGACATCTTCAAGGCGCAGGAGGGACAGGTGCGGGAAGGAGAGTATGTAGACTACGAGCTTCCATCCTGGCATCGGTCACAAGGACTCGAAATCTCCCTAGAGAAACTGGACGAAGACGATGAAATCGATTTGTTCGTCAGCCCACACTCGCCACATCAGCAGGTTCGACCACGGATAGATGAACATGTTTTTGCAGACATGTCGAGTCAGCGATCCAAGCGTATACGCTTACAACCAACGAATGCGGAACTGGATGATGCCGAGTCCGTCTACATCTCCGTACATGCATACCCCTCAGGAGAGCCTTCGAACACGCTCAAGGCCTATCGTTTACAAGTCTCCCTGTTTGATCCCAAATCGACAGCAGCAACAGACGGAAATGATAGCATAGAAACAACACATGGACCCGATGAAGTTCAGTGTAAAAATTGCACGCAGTGGGTTCCCAAAGGCTCCCTCTTCCTTCACGAAAACTTTTGTCTGCGAAACAATATATTATGTCCTCAACGGTGTGGTCAGGTTTTTCAGAAGCGCTCACCAGCCTTTGAAGCACACTGGCATTGTCCCCACGACACTTTTACTGGAAACACCCCTCTCAGCCGCCAAAAACACGACACGATCTACCACACCGAGCAATCGTGTTCCTCGTGTCCTCTCATATTCCCCTCCATCCCAACACTCGCCCACCACAAAACCACAGTCTGCCCCGGGAAGCTCATCCTCTGCCGCTTCTGCCACCTACAAGTTCCCCAGGAAGGTGATCCCACCGAACCACCGATTCCCGAACTCCTGCTCTCCGGTCTCACGCCCCACGAGCTAGCCGATGGTGGTCGCACGACTGAGTGCCATCTTTGCAATAAGATTGTGCGCTTCCGCGACATGGACACCCATCTCCGACATCATGACCTTGAGCGCTTGTCCCGTCCAGCACCGCGCCTATGTCGCAATGTGAATTGCGGACGTACGCAAGACGGCGTCAACAAGATGGGTGATACACGGGCCGGGACACGAAAGGGTCAGGGCCCGGGTAACGAGATCGGGTTGTGCAGTGTGTGTTTTGGCCCGTTGTACGTGTCATTGCATGATCCAGAGGGCAAAGCGCTACGTCGACGTATCGAGAGGCGGTATCTGAGCCAGTTGCTGACAGGCTGTGGGAAGGCGTGGTGTAGGAACCCCTATTGTCGGTCTGGACGGAAGAACCTCGGCGAAGGCGACAAGTCCATTCCAACGAAAGAAGCCATGCCCCTGGTCAAGCCGTTTTTGGACGGCATGGACGGCAGAGGGTATAGCACGCCTTTGCATTTTTGCGTCGATGAGCGCAGCCAAAAGTATCGGACGCTGGCGGACATGTTGGCGGCCGAACAAGGCATCGAGGGGAAAGGTGGCTATGGCCTTGAGTGGTGTGTGGCAGCTCTCGAAGCGGAAGGAGGAGATTTGGATAAAGCGAGGAGTTGGTTGAAAGGCTGGGCTCCGCAGCGTACCGAGGCTGCGTCGTGATTGTGCGTGGGATGGGTACTAGGTGTTGCATCTGCATACACGGCGTTGTGAATCGAGGATAGAGCCTGCATATAGACTTGAGAGATACCCCCCCTGATTTAATCCGAAACATGTCGAATCACCACAATGACAGTCGTGAACATATTCCCCAAATCCCCTCTCACCCCAATCTCTCATCCCAGGTCCAATCAACCATATCCCCCCCCCCCTCTCTCTCTCAAAACTCAAACCCCCTCTCAACCCACCCCCAACCAAAACTTGCGCCACCACACCGTCTCCGCATCCAAAAACCACGGACTCACGCTCTCGACAAACTGCTCGGGCGACGGCATCTGCTGCGCGTCCAGGTAGCCCAGGGCCATGATGAAGACGTCGCAGGTTGTCAGGCTGGTGCGGGCGAAGACGCAGTGCGAGATTGGGTGGGGCATGGTAGGGTGGTTTGTTGTGTGGGTGGGTGGGCTGGGGGATTGATTTGTTGGTATGTTGGTGTTGGTTGCCGGGGTGAGAGAGGGAGGGAGAAGGGGGGGATGGTGATGGGTATAGCAAAGGCTGTAATGGGTCAAAACTCCGTTTGCAACCACCCTCCTTGCACTTGTTCTTCTCCTTCTTTCAACGTTGTCTTTATATCACAGCTCCCCCCTTCTTCCTCAAACACGATCAAGGCCCCAAAAAATCTCAATCCCCCGCCTCTTGCCCCGTACATTCCAATCACCCACCGAGCCCGTCCGTCCTCCTCACCGCCTCCTCGATTCGCCTCTGGCAAATGTCTGCTGGACTCGGGAGACTTTGCTATACGTGAGGTGACGGTACGTGCGTCGATTTCCTTAACCGGGTATTGGGAGATGCAGGGGGGAGGGGTTTTTTTGCGAATTTTTTTTTCACCTTAACCCTTGTTGACACGGGTGTCGAGCGAGTGAGGTTTTGCCAATGGAGATTTATTTATCTATTTTCCTCAGCAGGGCGCGCGGCGATAGGATCTTAGGGATGTTGTGGGACCGTATGTCGTGGCGCTAGATAGGTACAAGTCGCACGAATATGCGCGGACAGTAGACTGTGGACTGCGCTGCACGTGCTGAGCAAGTGGAAACCGTACCGTACAATGGGGTCCAAAAGGCGAATCCAACTGGTACTCCTATTGTGTTTGTACCGTATTGTCACGCTGCTCCGAGGAATGAGAGTGCGCTGTTGCAACGAGGGTAGCTTGTCGAGTACAGTACGTACAATAGATCTGACCCCGTGGTCGCACAGCCCCTACCTATAGTCTATACATAAGCCCAGCTGGGTGCGCGCATCAGCAGATACGCCCGCCCGGTTCCGAATGAACTAGCAGTGCAGGAGCATGCTCATCCTGTCCTATTCAACCCCCACATAGTCATCAGTCCAGTAATCCTCAGAGCCCAGTGTGGATCCAGTTTGCAATACATATGCATGTGTCCTGGTGATGAGAGATGTAGTGTAACGTTGACATGTGCGTGCGTGTTCAAGATTTGTTGTAGAGATGTTGTGAACCTTGGATGGGGGTGAACCGTGATGTTGCGATGCAAGTCGATGATTGGAAGGTCGTGGATGATAGCGCGGTGTTAGGTCGCTCGCTTGAAAAATGACGTGCAGCGAATGGGGGACGAGAGACTGGGGGGTAATGACTGAGACATGACGATGGGCTTTGCTTAGGGGAAGAGGGTGGCGGAGAGTGAGTGGAGGTGAAATATGCAGGAGAAAGGGATGGGTTTTCATTTGTTAGTGGGGGTGATAGAAGGATCGAAAAACTTGAAAGAACATAAGGCGAGGCGATGGTCAAGGATGTAGCTACCAAGTTGATTCTATCTGGGCACTTACCTTGAACTATTGATTGGCAAATCGAGATATTGGATATAGGATATCGGCTATTGGTTAGTACACCGTAATATGGGCAGACACTGTACATGCACATCAGTTACACATAAGCACATTGGAAGCAGCATTACGAGTGTTGGATTTATTATCACGATAACAGACTTAGCCGCATCAAAATATCTACGCCGAAAGCAATGTAGTCCCGTAATCCATGACCGCCGTTATAAACACATTCGAGTCCGAGTCCAAATGCGACATGACGCGTGCAAAAACCAGAAAACGAACATTCCACGACTGTAATGAGAGTCGATCAGATTACTCGTAGGTTCAGAGTCGTAGAAACGAATAGGGCTCCAACTAAGCCTTGGGCTCAACAGCAACTTCCTCATGGGCCCTTCCGGCAACCTTGAGGTCGCCCTTCTCGATATCGCGAGTGATCTGGTCGAAACGTGAGGCAATCTTGCCGGCCTTCCAGGCAGGGAGTCCACTGTCGAAGACATCATCCATCTCCTCGAGTGTCCTGCCCTTGGTCTCGGGTGCAGTCAAGAACATGTGGATAAAGGCAGCGGCATTGAAAGTCCCGAAAATCTGTCTGTTGTCAGCTTCACTCATAGAATTACAAGATCGCATACGTACCATGTACATCTGCCAGTTGATGGACCATAGAAGAGGGGGGACAGCAAACGCAAGGATACAGTTCCAGGTCCAGTTGGCAGCAGTGGCCAGGGAGACAGCCTTTGCGCGGACCTTGGCAGGGAAGATTTCGGAAGGATAGGTCCATGAGGTAGGTCCCCAGGTGGTAGCGAACGTGGCCACGAAGAGGTAGGAGCAAGCAACAATACCCTTGGAGACCGCGCTGTGTTCCCTCGGGACAACCCAGGAGATGTCCTTGTCGGTTGGGTCTGGATTAGGATTGCCGTACGAAGCCTGCAGAGCGCCAGTGGTGAACAACCAGACGGCCATCAAAAAGCTACCCACAAGAAGAGCTGGGCGGCGTCCGAACCTGTCCAAGTACAAAATCGCAGGGAGAGTCATGGCGACGTTGATTATGTACTGGATACTGGCCGTAAGGAGCTCATCAGCGATACCTGCGCCTCTCATGATGAATACTATGTAATACATCATAATATTCATTCCACAGAGTTGCGACCACATCTGGATAGACATGCCGAGGATGACACGCTTGACGATACGGGGCTTGATCAGGGCAGCGAAGCTTGTCTCAGCCTCTTCACGCTCGAAGCGAAGGGCCTCTTCAATTTCCTTGTACTCGGCAAGAACTTTGGGGTGATTGACGTCACCACCGCCGTGGAGGTGGGCGAGAGTCTCAAGAGCCTCTTCCCAGCGGTCCTTGGAGGCCAACCAACGTGGAGAGCGAGGAAAAAAAAACATGCCGATGAACAGAATAGCACCGGGGACGGCCTGGATTCCCCATGGAATACGGAAGGCTGCAGTACCTTGGTTAGGGTTCTTGGAACCACCACCCGTGAAAGAACAGCCGTACTGGATGAAGCTGGAAGTAATGTGTTAGTCCTTTGAGTAAGAAGGCAAGCATTTGAGAAGTGAATCCAAACTCGGATGTGCTTAGTACAAATGCTCAATGCGGAAAACTTACTATTGGATCAGGATACCCCAAGTGATAGCCCACTGTTGGAGTGAGACGACGCGACCACGAATCTCCTTGGGGGCGATCTCGGATTGGTAGACTGGAACAATGGCAGAACAGATACCGATGGCGAAGCCACCGACGACACGGCCGACGCAGAGCAAGGGAATACCATTGGCAGCGGCCTGGAAGATGGCGCCGATGATCCAGATGAGGGCAGCGATTTGAATAGCATTGCGGCGCGAGAGCCTATCCGCAAGGAAAGACGAGGCAAGCGCACCGACGAGGGATCCAGCAGGCATGGCCGCAGTGATCCCACCCTGGCGAGTTCCACTGGGCGCATCAAAGTAGCGAGAGTAGGCTTGTGTGCCGAGCACACCAGACATGGAAGAGATGTCGAAACCGAAAAGAGCACCACCTATGGCGGCGAAGCCACAGATGGCGTAGACACTGGTGAAGCCATGTTAGTGTCACCTGCCCGAAGTTGGAAAACCTGTCTAAGATATCACTGACTTGTAAAAGGTCTTCATCTCGCCAAGTCGTTGTGACCAGGTTCGGTGAGCAATGTGGAGCGGAGTGGGAAGTGGAAACAGTGAAGGCGCGGGGGGTGGAGAGGTCTCTTTATGTAGCGATAAACGAGTGAGGTCGACAAACGCGTGATTGCTCAGAAATACCGTCTGTGCATACTACCTACATCCTAGGTAAACACACATACTACAGCCTACTAGCGTTGCTAGCAGGAGCCTACCTAATAAGGCGATTGAGAGCCACGACTTGGCCGTTGGCCTGTTTCCCATACATATGATGGCGTTTGAGGCCAAGCCTTGTGGCCCCGCAAACAAGCGTTTGTGCAGGAAGCCTGTCTAACTGGGGAGTCGGCAATACATCCCTGGAGCTGGCTTTGTATGGTTGGTGGCCCGATCATGCTGTACATTACAACCTTCTCCAACGCCAGGGGGGGAAGGGGGGGTGGGGCCATATTGTTACAGCAGATGTGACCATAGACGCTCTTAAACCTACTTACTGGTGTGCGGCTGAGAGCCTTCTGGGGTTGGAGTTACAGTGTTGCAGTGTTGTAGTGCCACACTTACACAGCTCTTTCTGAGTCTCTGTTCATCGCATATACCGCAAACGGCGCCGGTGAGGGAGCGGTGTGGCGTCGATTTGACAAGCACGTGTACATGGTCCTACACGGTACACTAGAAATAAAACCCCATCGACTGAGCGAGCGTTGAAATTCTTTCATGTCTCATGTCCAGATCGGGAGACAGACAGAGTGCGTCGATGAGCCAATGGTGTGGTCGCAAGTTTGTACGCAGGACTCCTCAGGCGCACAGCTAAACTCTTCTTAGTTTACCGCCAGGCTCGGGTCCGTTGCGAAAGAAAACACATTTCCCTGGTCATTTCATACAGGAAAGATGTACCGAAGTGGTTCCAACGAAGCGCGGGCCGTCTAGGCGGCATGGCGTTACCAGGTTCTCTCTCTGCCTTGCCTTTTTGCATGATCATCTTGCAATCAGGGAGTCAGGGATCGTGGGCCATGGTTGGATCTCCAGTGGGCTGACCCCGCAATGGAGTAGAGCGCAATAGGGACCAAGAGGCGCTCGAGCTCGAGCAGGAGGGTAACCATAGCCTGGGGGAAAGGGGGGATGTGGGTGCACACAACTGGGGGGGGGGGAAGTTG